TATGGGATTACAGGAAATTTCACTCTGTTAATAGAATACTTTTTTTTTGGGTGTAAGACGTGTATACCTAGGGTACGAGATACGGTATAAGTAGATAAGTAGATAAGTAAGTCTACTCTGTCTCGGCGTCTTCGATCTAAAGTGAAGTAGTTCGCCATGATGTTGAGTGTGGAAATCGTATGTCTGTCCTTCTCCATCGCTCACGGAGAAAAACAGACATACGATTTTTCTCCTTCTTCATCTTATTGACCGCCATATTGTTGAGTGTGCAAACCATTTCACGGGTTTTGGCCTGAGTGAACATGCTGTATCTACTTATACTGTGCCTAGAATTAAAAAATAATAAAATGCAATTTATTCACAAGTACAAAGTAACGTTAGCCACGCAGAAATTATTATAGATAACAATAGTACGGGTACAAAATTCGGTTTTGTGAAGCGCAAACGAAAGCCAGAGCTTTATTTACGCATCAGAGTTTCTTACTCACGCATCATGGAAATGTACGCCCTTAATCTGTACACCATTCTTCTGTACACCCTTTACAAATATAGAAAGAAGATATCAAAAGATAAAAATGCGTTAAATCATTACAATGTTAAATTTACGTGAAAATACATGTACACGGAAAATCTCGAGATTTTAAGCCTTTTTTTCTCTCTGCGGTTACACATGCTTGCGTTTTCATGCCAAACCGTGTCCATGATATCGTGTTAAAACTTACAGTAAATGAACGTTTCGGCCAAACAAATTCGACCGAACTTCAACTAATGACATAATGTGCGCCTTTAAATGGAGGGATAAAAGCTATAGTAATGTAAGTCAATATTTTAAAAAATTTGACACTATGGCTTTTACCCCTCCAAATAAAAAAAAATATAATTATACTCAATGTATACAAAATAGAAAATAATAGGCGTTTAACTTGTACACGTAAGTGAATCTCGTATCATTAATGTGTACTGTAAAAGTGTACTTGGCGCCTATTTTGCATATAATAAAAAAATTTCTTATTAATTATTTCGGCTCGTGCGGAGGAAAATTATTTTATTTTTAGATATAATTAATTTCTAAATATTGAGCAAGACATAATATATTAACTTTTTAATGGCTAGTTAAGAAGATATTCGATTTCGAGGATGCAACGCGTGAAATTCGACTAAGTCCGCATAAAAATTTTTTTTGAAAGTTTTAGGTGTTCTGGTAAGAATTTTAGATAGAACTTTAAAAGTTCTGAAATAATTTCTATGATCAAAAGCGATCCGGTCACTAGTTAAGAAAATATTCGACTTCGAATGTCTGCCGTGAATGGCATTTGCGTAACTTTTGATGATTTTTTAAAACAATTCTAAGATTTTGCAATTTTTTACTTATCAAGAACTCTAGAACTTTTCGAAAGTGTTATGTGGAGTTGACTTTAGTTTCGCGCGCGATCGATAGTGATAAGCAATGCGTGCGAACATCGATAAATCGAGACATCGATACAATGGCATCCGCGACTACCGGCCAAGAGCGGATACGATCGTCTCTTGTCAGAACCACGAGACACACGCAGCTAGTCAGAACCATTCCTAATCCATAATATTACATATTATATTATTCGTGAATAAAGGCATAATTATATTCTGAATCAAGAGTATTCATTACTTTGTTGTGCCTACGTACAATCACAACAAATTTGGCGACGAGGATTATGGAAAGAACGACATAAGCGAAATATAATATTCGCAGTTACACAGTACGTACGACTAAAATAAAAAGTGTCTCGGTGCCATTACAAAGCAAGCATGGCTTTACAACCAGCACAAGAATCAGCAATTCCGGGGTCATTCGCGATCGAAGCTTTCGATCCATCGTCCTCTACATGGAAAAGATGGGTGCAACGCTTACAGGGCGCTTTCTTAATTTTCGGAATCAAGGATAATGCGAGGGTTCCCTATTTATTACATTACGTAGGAGCCTCGGCATTTGATGTACTATGCGATCGATTGGACCCGATTGATCCGTTCAGCCTTACGATGTGTTGGTACAGAAACTCGAGGAATTTTACGAACCGGCACCCCTGGAAATAGCAGAGAACTACCGTTTCTACCAGAGGAAGCAAGGAGAAAAAGAAACAGTGCAGCAGTTCGTGGCAGCTCTCCATAAGCTGAGTATCCACTGCAAATTCGGAGAGTATCTCAAGACGGCGCTACGTAACCAATTCGTATTCGGCCTATTAAATAAGAAGGCTCAAGCTCGTTTATTGGAAAAAAAGGACTTGAACTTCGACGAGGCGGTAAAAATAGCCATTACAATGGAACTATCTGAGAAGAGTTCGCGGCAGATGAAGGGCGCCAGTTCAACGTCAACAGGTATCGATCTTCTAAAGGCGGGGAAGAAAGCCCCAGGGAAGAATACAGGTGACAAGCAGTTCAAACCAGGGGCCAGGAAGTATACTGCAAATACGTCTAATTCGAGTAATAAGTCTGATGTAAAAACTAATATTTAGTGTTTCAGATGTGGTAAGGCACATTTAGCTTCTAAGTGCACGCTCAGTCGAGATATTCGTTGCCATGGCTGTGGGAAGCAGGGGCATCTGCGGACAGTTTGTTTTGCGAAGGGCTCGACAAATCAATTACAGGAGATTCTGAGCTTGGAGCATGTAAATTTCCGGGAAAAATTTTTAACAACTTTTGAAATTAACGGGAAACCACTAGAGTTCGAGGTTGACAGCGGAGCTGCAGTAACAGTCGTAAGTGAGCAGGTTATTCATAGTATCTTTCCAGAAGCGACCATACATAATACGCAGTTACAATTAATTTCATACTGCAGTCGTATTTTGCGTAGTAAAGGATTTATTACAGTTAATGTTAAATATAAGAATATTGCAAAACGACTTAACATGTATATAGTAGTTGGTAATAGAAAACCTTTATTGGGTAGGGAATGGATACGTCAATTATGTAATGAAAATGATTTCCTTGTTCCTAGTGAGTCAGTAAATGAAATGACAGTATTAGCTACAAATAAACTACATGCAATACTTGAAAATTACAAAAACGCA